GTTTTATTAAAGCACATTACGAATTATAATCATCGTTACCACTGGAGTAATAAAATTAACCTAGCGGGTAACTAGAATATTGCAGCGAACTTACAATATTTTATATGAAAATTATTTAAAGACCATTGTATCAACAATTATTATAATATAGGTGATGGATACCACATACATAACTGCAACTAAAGGGTATTAGAAATGAGTTATGAGCCCAATTTTATGAAAGATGTTTTTATTATATTTCGAGTTACCTTAAACTGGTCTCTATTTCTCATATCAAAATGTTATTTGAAGATATAGTGACTATTTTATGAAAATCACTTTCAGAATATAACGCAACCTAATTTTTATTGTATAGAAAAAAGTTTTGAAAATGGGTAGAAGATGTGAAACGTAATATTTGGACCAATTTTTCAGTTAGATGACAAAAATATATTTGGAAGAAAAATGTTTGATAAGATAACCCTCGTTTATTGTGTTATTAGAAATAACATAAGTTTTCAAAGTCTATGTTATACCACTCGGCTATTAGTACTTGCTGGATATGAGGTGGACAAGATAGGAATTTCCGTCTTTGAAATAAAATCACGTTATTGAAAAAACATGCGTGATTTACTTGAACATGAACTCCAATATATATATATACAGATGCTAGGTATTTAACACCTATATAAGTTCAGTTTTATGTTTTTATGCAGTAACTTCAGTGAAAACTAGTATCCTGCAAACACTACTCTTTACATTAGCCGAAGTGCAGATACGGTACATTTAGATCGCCATGTTGCATCTGCTCTACAAACAACATGGTTCTCATCCTAAGTTGTAACAGATATTAGGGATTTACTAGGATTCTCATACAATACATTTATGCAACTTGCATGCATTTTCTTGTTGTTTATGTGGTGTAGCAAGTCCAAATATCTGTTTATAGGTAGTGCTGTCATATCATTTTAACAAATAAAATACTCAATTTTCTTTACTTACAACTGAAAAACAACAACAACAGATACAACAGATAAATTATTATGAAAACAACCACGTTCAACGCATTTCATTGTTATAAAAAAAGACCTGGTTTTCCTTTTACAAGGCGGCGAAGCATGATTATAATTAGACTTGTTGTAAGACATTATAATTAGACATATTATATTTTTAAACACAACATTTTTTTATCTAGTCCTTTGGAGATTTTAAAGAATTAGAAAAGTATGTAATAATAGCATTCCAACCACACTATATTTGTCATATCCATTGCTGATGGCGCGTTTCGCTCAACACAGAGCGAATATATTGTGGTTGGAATACTATTATTATACACTCTTTAATTCTTGAAATTTCCCAAGGTATTAGATAATAAGTTTAGTGTCTTCAAATATAGTAGGCCTAATACAAATGTTTACAAAAGACGTTTACACCATAACAATTGTTGTTGTAACAACTAGCTTATATAAATAGTGCTCCGACTAGTACTGTGTTCGTTGTAGCCCAGCCGGTCTGAAGAACTCTGGATTGAGCGAAACGCGTCGTCAGCAATGGATACCACAAATATAGTGTGGTGGGAATACTATTATTATGCACTCTTCTAATTCTTTAAAATCCCAAATGATTAGATAAAGAATGTAGTGTTTAAAAACATAATAGGCCTATTCTATTGTCTTACGACAAGTATAATTACAATAAGGATTAGTTCAAGAATGCGAATAATCTGTATTCATTCATAGGGGTCGTGGTTGCGTTATAGGGTGACAGTAAATCCTACTATTCGATTAGAGTGGCTTACGAGTTGACGGTGGGTTGTGTAGACTAGCTTCCTTCCCTCTAGTCTTTCACTTAAAAATTAGGGATGGCTAGCGCAGATAACCCTCGAGTAGCTTTGCGCGAAAATCAACAAAGAACAACAATACAAGGAAAAGTAAAACAAAAGATCAAAATACTTGGTAAAAGTGTGTAACTATGAGTTTAAAATTAAAGCGATAGGATATCAGGAGTCTCGTGAAGTTGAGTCACTGTCTATTGAAAGCCTTGAAAACTTTCCTATACACTAGCTGATTATTCTTTACTTTGGCTATAGCAACTGTGCTTTAAAAAAAAACGTGAAACAATGCAAAACAAACAGAAACAACCTAACCAAAACGATGCCTTGAACTGTTGGCGCCATTTATGATTCATTATGTATTAGAGCATTCGAAATATAATAAGTCAAAAAAAAAGAATCAAAGAGCTGACATTTTGAATATTTTCTCTTCCTCTGTGTTTTATCGTCCACATATCGATATTTGCTTTATTACAATAGCATTGAGATTAAAATAAAAGAACGTACATTTTTAAAACAACGGCGTTATCGAAAATTGCTTATTTGGAAGAATTATTTGTTTACATATCAACAAGCTTATTTAACTTTCGGAAATTTTTCACGCTCAGTCAACCCGATAATACTTAAGTTGCTGGCATGTACTATTTTCTAATACATATTATAAAATCAATTGGGATTGTTGTTTATACATCCAACATTAACATCTGGTGGCTGAACCTATGTATCCCTAGAAAACAAGTATGTTAAACAGTCTAGAAAGTTATAGAGCTAGAATACCGTTTTTGAATCTGAAATATACTCAGAATACACATACACTGTGAATAAGAGGATATATTTCCAAGTTGTTTAATTAGTTTCTTCTTCACACTTAATCCGTTATATCCTGTACGTGAAAGGATAAACGTGACACTTTTCTTTGGCACGCTACGCATGTTTAATGAACTTACTTAGCAAGTTATCAATAATGATAAATAGATGCTGTGACATACGTTCGAGATTGTTTCTTTTTCACTAAATTAAAGCCCACGTTTTTATAAATTCTAAAGGTTATCTAAGGTATATTGTTTACGAAATTAACTGTGAACAAAAGTATCGAAGTGTGCATAAACTCCAAAAAAGGTGAGTTTATGAGCAAATGCAATCTAGTTTATTTTTAGAGCAGTGAAATGATGGGCCAAGAAAAGATAATTTGCATTATTTCTGTTATTCCATTGTATATTTCATATACAAATTTCTGTAAAAAGGTAGGTAATAAACTTGCCTGTTAACAGCTTTCAGAAACCACATTAGGGTCATATATATATGTCCATAATAAGATCCAGGTTTAAATTACATGTCCAGAGTAATATACAGGTTTCAATCGATAAGGGCTTGATTTTAACCAGATTGGTTCATGAAAATATAAAACCGCCCCCCCCCCCCTCAGTGTTATAGTGGTATGTCTGCAGACTTACAACGCTAGAAACTGGCAGATAGCCCATTGTGTAGCTTTGTATTTAACTACAAACAAACAAAACAAACAAATATAAAAACCGATTTACTAAAACAGCTAATATTGAAATAATAATAACTCCAGTAATCTAGTAAACATATTTTCATTAAATAAATATAATTAGCACATAGCTAGGATAGATTAAGGATTGTTTGCTTCTATGTTGAATTTTTCGTGAAGCTACTAGACGGATATCTGCGCTATACGTTCCTAATTTAAAGTTATAGACTAAAGGGAAGGTGTCTAGTTAACACTACCCACCGTCAACTCTTGGGTTGCTCTTTACCAAAGAAAAGTAGTATTTACCGTCACATAATAAGATCTCCATGACTGAAAGAGAGACCATGTCCGGTGAGGAGATTCAAACTGGCGACCCACAGATTGCAAGTCGAGCGCCCTAACCACTAGGTCATGTCAGATCCATTATAATTAACATGATATTTGTAAACTAGGGTCAGTGCTAATTTTGATTGTTTATTTTCAGTTGAAAAGAAATAAAAAGTGAGTTATATCAAAACTAGTTAGATATACACCTTCATAGAATATCAACTGATTGTTATTAAACACAAAACCAGAGCTATCTTTTGAAGTGAATTCATTTATATCAAGTTTATTAAAAATCAGTAAGAAGCTTGACAAGAACACTTTTAAAAGTTCCCGTATTAGATGCAATCGGTTTTACTGTACATTATGTTTCGAGATTCAGCATATAAACATGACAAAGCTATCTTTTCAAATGAGTTAATTTACATCAAGTTTATTAAAAATGAGTAAGAAGTTTGACAAGAACGCTTTTAAAAGTTCCTGTATTATATGCAATCGGTTTTATTGTACATTGTGTTTCGAGATTCAGCATAAAAACATGACAGCAGCAATTTCATTACTTTATAAAGATTTAAGAAAGAATATTACCATGGAAGATATTAGTAATTACCATTTCTCATAATCTTAAGATAGTACTTAGCGTCCCATATAATCTTAAAAGTATATTTATTAACTGACATTTTAGAAACGCAAAAACCGTTATTCAAAACTGATTTTCTATACTGATAATAATAAATAATAAGTAAACTTAGTATTCCGAAACTGTTTGATCTCGAAGTCTAAGTTCAAGGGAGGTCCAGTTCAATCTACATTTTGATCAGTGTGTGTTATTGGGTTATACTAGTTATGGAGAATTCCACTCTTCGTTAGTAACACTGAACACAAGTTAACCAAAGAGAGATAAGCTGGACCTATATCATAGTGAAAAGTATCAATAATGGCCAGTGACATGTTTTCTTCACTTCACTATCAAGTGTATAGGTTTTTCTCATAGTGATTATAAAACATGTTTAAAAATATTGCACTTAGCATGTTCACTTAAATATCATTGTATGTGATAGTAGTATGTTCCATCTATTTATTATTTAATCAATCAAACACCGCATAGGTTTTCAACACTGAATTTGTTCAAAGTAGATCTGTTTAGCACTGATAATTAGAAATCTGAAAATTACTTTGATAAAATAACTACAAAAACTTAGAATCATGGTTCTGCCTGAAATATTACGTAACTTACACTTGCCAGGTGCCTTTTGGACTACTATTATATGTGGAATATCCAGTCAATCCAAGTAATGTGATTAATGTGTATAAAACGACTCAAAAATTAATCTTAAAGTATTTGCTAATTATCGTACGAAAACTAAATTTTACCATTTACGATCAAGATGGCACTGTAACTTGTTGATCCCGCATCGTTTTTGACATTACAAGTGTAGTTTCCCGAGTGCATTTGGAGTAAGTTCTCTGTCCAAAGAATGCTGTAATCTCTGAAGTATTGGACATTCAATCCGTTGCTGGATGAAAGGGTGGATCCATCTTTTAGCCAGGTGAAATGAAAAGGAGAGTCTCCAAGAACCACGAAACACATCAATCTTACCGTCATCCCCACAACAAGATCTGGGGAGAACTGAAAAGGGGAGATGGTAGGAGGTTCTGAAAAACAACGGCATATTTAATATTTAAAGATGATTTGTAAGGTGATAAAAAATTAGAAAGTTTTGTTCATAATTATATGTTTTAGAACTGAAAAAAACAAACAATTAGGTAAGTGTTCAAATAAGCGTTCATCCAAATGTAAACATATATATCTTCAGTGCTTAAAAAGTGCATAGAATCTTTAAAATATTGAATATAAATACTTCAATTAAGAAAAGATCGTGTACTTCAATACATATTGTCAATAATTACAGTAAATAACACTTTATGTTGGCGAAGCGTGATCCAATGATCGAAAGTTTTTGTGACATTCCCTCACAATAAAGCTGATAATAATTTATAAAAAAATCCTCTTTTACCGACCCTACAAGTACATATTTCCAGTAAGAAAATATTATTATCTTAATCACACACTTAGGGAGCCAAATGCCACTGTCGACTAAGTCTTTTGCTCATTATCAGAGTTCTCAACTCGGGTGGGAATGCACAAAGTTTCAATCGAAACGCTATTTATATCAATAGTTTACAATATATAACTTATTATATCAGTCATTCACAAGATATAATTGAAATATTGTGAAATATGTCACAATTTCTGGCAGACACACATACACAATACAAAACAAAAAATACATACACGGAAACACCAGTTAATAGTCAGAACACGCTGTTACATGTATGATAATGATTCACTTCCATCTTTGATGACATACTTGAAGGCAATGTTTAACGTTGCGTCTGATGATAAATAAAATGATGAACACATTGACTGGCTTCTTTTGTGCTAGAAACAGATGCAAACATAGAAGCTTTTTCTAAGACCAATAACTTTCTCTTCATGAGATTGGTGTTTCACTACACGTGTGAAGCTTCTGTAAAATGCTGGATAGGCACATTTTTCATTTAACCATTCCTTATACTTTCACCTTAAGTTCAACAAACCTTTCAGTTTTGAGCTTATTTCAGAATATGTAATGAGCTTTCATTCATTTGTGTCATTCAAGTGAGCCAAATTTTTGCGTGACAGATGACTCACATACGTATTTAGATATAAACTTTATAATTTAATGAAAAAATCCTACTCTTATTTGCACAAGTTTTGGCAAGTTCCACATAATTATCGAATAAACTTTTCGATTCGATTAAACACTATTACTACTTTGTTCACTTTCAATTTTATTAGATAAATATTAGTGCACGTAGCTACACTACAAGCAATGAAACATCTCAGAATTATAAAACCGGGACTCTCAAACGTTCCAGTCCGGTATCTCTATTGTGAGGGTTAGCGTGCTTGGACTTTGAATCCGAGCATTCATTATTCGTGTCCTGTTGCCTCATAAATAAGTTCCGCAGTTAGCGGTCGGTCGTGGTGTTTTATAAAAGTGATTTTTTAAGACAAGAGAAGCCCAAGAGTCGGTGGTGGGTGTTGTTGACTAAATGTTTTTCCTTTAGTCTATCAGCTCAAAATTAATAAAAGCTATGTGTAGCTTTGCAATGAATAAAGAAGAAAAAAAAAGAAAAAAAGATGGAACAATTCTCTTTAAATATGTTAGCATTTGCAAAAGAAACTTCAAAGAGAATTTTTGAATCTTTACAGCTCCTTCGATTTGAAGCCTCTCGTGACCTTCTACAGTTTGAGAATGCTTGTTATAGAACTTTGATTGAATCTCTGTGATTTTTTTATACAAAATATTGTTTTTATTAAATGTCAGTTTTGGAAAGCCCTTTCTGTTATTATAGATCTAATAAAAAACACCTTAGGTGTGAAAAAAAGGTGAGGCCAAAAAAGGATCGAGTGTGCGACTTAAAGGAATGAAAGCAAAATTGGTGGTCAGACTTGTAGCTACACTTATAACATTGGTAAGAATTTTACAGGAAATATTCATTCATTAGTTAGCCGGGCCGAGTTTTTTGTTCAACTTGGTGCATGATGATGGGTAAAACAAAATACACGGTCTAACAGAACATATAAAACCTTCCTTTTTGAACATCTTCCCGAAAAAAAGCATACAATGGCAGATAGGTATGGTGTGCCCAGTGAAAAACAGATAATCATAAAACTTAACGATGCAAATAACCAATAATTTAACTCAAAGACAAAAAAAAAAAAATTAATCGCACCAGTAGGAAGAGGTAAACACAAAAACAAATGTTTTTGTTTGTTTGTAGTTAAGCACAAAGCTACACAAATGGTTATCTGTGCTCTGCCCACCACGGGTATCGAAACCCGGTTTCTGGCGTTTTAAGTCCACAGAAATACCGCTGTGCCACTGGGGGGGGGGAGCTACCAAAAATAAATAGAAATATAAGTTGGCAGCCTTACGTTCACAAATTTTGTAAAGCTATTAACATGTTTCGATACACGTGGTGGGCAGAGCACAGATAGCCCTTGTGTAGCTTTGTGCATAATTAAAACAAACAATATTGAATGTTACTCAGCTTATAAAACAAAAAGAGAAGAAGAACATTTTGGCCAGAAGGAAATAATTCCAGGAGATAAAGATATTTAAGTTGCAAATGCTTGTTAACAATGTTTTTTGGGCCAATTGTTCGAACCTGATCATTATCAGAGAAAATTAAAGAAAAATATTGTCTCTTCGAATACTTTCATGAAAGGTTGAATCAGTCTAATTTCATTAATAATTTAAAAATCTCAATTGTTTTAGCTCTTCCTATTAATTTGTTTAAAATTACTGTTTAAGTATGGAAAAGGTTTCCTAAAATGTTTTAATTATACAATGGTTATTGTATTCACGGTTTAATAAAGTTATTTCTAAAGTATAAAATAATTTTTACGTATGCTGAATATTAGGAAAAAAGCAACAACAACAAGCTGCAAATGCTAATAAAGAAACTATTCCCCAACAATATATCAACGTCATATTGAATATTAAAATAACAACATACATATTACTCCCAGCTGTTTCGCGTTCTTGAGAAAAGATGTAAAATTAGATAATTTCTATACACAGTATTCACAATTAGAATTTGTAAAGCACGAGTTCCACTTTACATTTTTTCATGGTTTCATATAGATATATAATTATTTCAACACAATTATAATTTTACAAGATATGATTTTAAAATAAAAACATATCTTGCGTCAAAACTTTCAAATCTATAGAGAGAGTTTTACTTAAATAACGTTTTATATTTTTGCTTTCTAATTATAATTCTCAAAGAATCTTGAATATAAAAATTTTTCAGCGAAATATCTATGAGTGATTAAATATATTCACAAAATCATTGAAAGAGTGAATTAATTAAAATTTGACGGTAAATATATAAACAGGTTTCAAATTTAAAGTTTATAAACAAGCAAATACTTTCAACGTTAATTATTTCATTTTATCTCTTCATTTTTCATTGTACCAGACTTTTTATTTGAAAGGCTGACAGATGGAACTTTCTTAATTTCTTTTATTTATTTGTGAAGAATGTAAACTTATCTGAGGCTTATTAGTTGTAACATTAAATCATTGATATATCTTTAAGTTTAGTAATAAGTTTTCCAAATTTTGCCATAAAAGCAAAAAAAAAACAAAAAAACTGTGTTATTACAAATGGGTTTAAAATTAATATCACCGTTGCAGGAAGCTTTGAATATAAAATAATCACCCACCAGTCCGATTTTTTAAGAAGGAAGAAATCCTATCATTTGGTAGAATAAACATCGTTAAGGTGTGACTGTTTTTGTTGGCGAAGACGTGATTATAAGAAATTATATTTGTCATAAGATAATAGTATTAGTCTCGTTGCATTTTTAACACTACATTTTAATACTGCAGGTTTCGGAGAAGAAGAGTTGTATATTAGTATTTCAACTACACTATGATCACCATATTCATTAACGACGACAGTGGATATCCAAAAAGTTAGATATCCTAACGATTTCTAGATTTTTGCTATATGCAATGGATTTCTATAATTTTTTGAGAAAGTCCATAAAATATTATAACCGTAATATAATGACGTTTGCTTATCTTTGACTTGCTTAAATACGCTGAAAATTATTTGAGAAAGATACAATAATTGTTAAAACAAAGGTATTAGAGATAAACAAGGCTAGCATACAACAAGAACAATGCTATTGTGGCCTAATTAACACTGAAAACAAACACACATGTACATACATATATCCCCCCAGTGGCACAGTCTGCGGACTTACAATGCTAGAAACCGGGTTTCGATACCCGTGGTGGATAGCTTCGTGTAGCTTTGTGCTTAACTACAAGCAAACAAACATACATATATATGTATATAACAAATCAGAAACAAATACATTTGCCTTGTCGTTTTCCCTTTACATTAAGTGAGAGGTTCTACAGTTTATCTTATAATATAAGGCTTCTTATTTCTTATTAACTTTCAAGAGTTCTTCAGTAAAAGTGAATAATTTAGCACCAAAGATAACCTAATAGAATGTGTCAAATTATTTAAGATTATTGTCAATAATACACTTTCGAAAATGACTAAACACCCTACAAAAGGTTGAATACGTTATATTAAAGAGATTTTGAATATGCAAATCAGCAAGCCACCTTATAACTATAAACAATATAAAATCGTGGTAGAACTGGATGTATCAGAATTACATTTTGACATTGTTTGGAGTTATGTAAGTAGTGTGATGCCACATAAATTTTATCATTTTTAGGGAAGGGTATGTAACAGATCTCTCCGACGCGAAATGATCATACATTCAGATCATAACTATGTGTTTAGATTGAGGATTTAGAATTTCCATGTTGGAGATTTCTTTTGTATTTAATTCCGTTGAAAAACACGGGAAAATTAATGAACTTGTGTTATGAAGTTAAGTGTAAGGAATACTGGAGTTGAGAGAAGTAAGAAAGCAGCTGGCATTTCGTCAGTCTCTAAGAGATTAGGGGATTACAACACTCTAAGTCATTAGAAAATGATTGGAGTGAGCAACTGCTTTTCTTGTTCAACCGGTGTGAAGATTATGAGACCCATATTATTATAGGATGTTATAACCTAAACAGGTGTGCAGCATCAAAAAGAAATCTGGCGTGGCTTTAAGAATGAAATATGAAATACAGAAATTCAATAAAAATGAAAAAAGAAGATCGGGAGATGTGAGGAAGAATAAATAAACCGATAGAGAGGCGAATGAAGAAAATAATATGCTGTTAGTAAGAAACAAAACCTAGTTCTAAATCTATGTATATTATTGATTATAGTAATAAACTGGAAATTATTGGTGTGTGTGAGTCAATTCCTGATAGGAATAAATAAGTACATCCTAATTAAAGTTGATGGACATAACAGGGAAAGCAAAATGCAAGTATAGCACGATCGTAACAAAGTAGTGTTAAAGCTATCTGTAACAACCTGTGATATCAGGGCCATCCAAAAAAAAACTCTGGAACCAGTTTTATTTCAGATGTTATAAGCAAAATGGGCGTCTTGTAATATATGAAATCCACAAACGCAAAAGTCTGTAGCAAAAAGCTTTACACTTGCCTAAGGCAACAGTGCGTAACATAATTAAGAAGGATCTTCAAGATAAGACTTTTACAGATACTTCACTTCAACTATCCTATATCTCAAGCAGTTGGAGAATGAAATGGGTATTCATGCTATACCATACGAAGACATTACACAGCTGGACACAGCACCTATGGATTTATGTGCAATCAGGTTGTTGAAAATGGCGTTGGAAATCTTCGTATTTGTGTACTAGATAGCTTATGGAAAGCCTGCAAGGTAGAATGAAGTACTTTGTACATGACAACCTTTGTCAAAGGAAACTATGCTGTAGGGCTATTGTTAAAATGTATGGTCGTCAGATAGGGCAAGACCAGCCGTGACAACATGGATTGTAACGATGTGGTGGGGCTCCAAAACCGGGTTAATATAGTGTATTCAATCTCTCTCTGTTATTACTATATATTTATGGATTATATCTATTAACAACAAAAACTTATTAATGATACGTTTCTCGAAAGCATTATCTAAACGATTAAAATAAGACAACAACATAAACTTATTTTCGTATTATTTCAATGGTTTAAACAAATTAGTGAAATATCAATATAAAGAGAGTAAAAATTTTTTTACATAGCTAACACTTTTATTGTGGAATGTTTCGGACTCTTCTCCAAGGAAGTTTTGTAACTATCAAGACACACGGTAGTGTTTCGTACAGCTAAAACAACCTGCAGTTATTGTGTGTTATTAACAAAAATGGTAGTTTAGCGATTTTCCACTTTCTGAATCTCGGACTGTGGTAATATAAACTATCATATATTTTCAGAGGATGTGCTCTACTGGACCCTTACTTCACATACCAAGTTACAAGGCAATCCATTAAGAAATATACGAGATATAAAATTTCCAATTTTGATTGAATTTTTCCCTACTTTTTCCTCGCAAAGAAAGTAAGGAAAATTTATCTGTTAGAAAAACCTACTTAACTTTCATGGATTTTTTTTTTCAAATTTGGTATATTAACAAATCTTGAAAACCTACAACTAATGTCAAACTTAGTCTAAATATAAGCACATGTGCAAAGTTATTCAACAAAAACCGCTCAAATTTGATCAAAATTTTTGCGCACGCCTATGCAAAAAGTCACGTAAGCTATCGGTCTGAAAGTTTTACTACAGTTTCACCTAATAGTAAAAGTGGACTGTTCTTACTTTTTTGTCATTCAGATTAAAGATGGCTGATTTAGAGCAGCATATCTCTAGGGTAAAAGAACGTGCAGATAAATAAGTATTGGTTAGAGTAAGCAAATTAGATTATCAGTTTCTATCTCAAGTTTTCAAAAGAATCATACAGGTGAACGGTTATTATCCATTATTTATTGTCAAATTTTATGAAATTTTCCTAATTAAAGAGTGTTTAGCGCTACGTGATATTAGCTTAAGCAATTAGCGTAAATAATGATGTTTCATACGGCTGTATCGAGTGCATGCTTGTGATGACAAGAAACTGTTAATGTAAAGTCCATGATGTTACTATAAAGGAAGTTATTAATACTGTTTTAGAGGGGAAAAGCTACCACCATATATTTCATAGAATCTGTGTGGTTCTGTAAAGCAAAGGTCTGTTCCGAATAATATGGTTGCGATCCTAAAGATAATGTTGGTTAATGTCGAGTATCACTTTCTTACTTGCTGTGGTTTGTTGGCGTGTATTGACAAAACGTTATCATATCTAATCAAAAACACTTTCGGTGTGAAAAAAGGTGCGCCAAAAAAGGATTGACCATACGATTTAACGGAATGAAATCAAAATTGGTGGGCAAACTGATAGCTACACTTGTAGCACTGACAAGAATTTTACAGCAAATATTCATTCATTAGTCAGCTAGGCCGCGTATTTTGTTTTACCCACCATCATGCACCAAGTTGAACAAAAAACGCGGCCTGACTAACTAATGAATGAATATTTGCTGTAAAATTCTTACCAATGTTATAAGTCTAGTTACCAGTTTGGCCGCCAATTTTGATTTCATTCCAATTTTTCGCACTTTTTCGCAATTTTTTTCACACCCTAGGTTTTTTTTATTAGATAACTATATAACCGAACACATATAATATTACTATTTTCCATCCATACAATAATATAAAATGTATTGACTATATTTAATTATTTACCGGTAATTCTGAGAATAACAACATTTTTTCTTGACCTAAGTTTATCGTCAAGGTAACGGCAGCTGTATCTTCCTCCATCTGTACTTTGTGTTACTTCTTTTATAGTTAGGCTTCCATTTCGTAAAATTTTCTGTCTAGGGTTTATAGGTAGCTTGAGACCGTCTGAAAAATAGCATAAAAAATATTAATTCGATTATTCATATAATCAAATATAACCAGATATTAACAGAGTGTACTCTTATTTGAAAACTGCTTCACGTCACTACTGCATGGCTTATATACATCGATTCAATGTTGTGCTTATTATTGTTAAGACATTTTTAAAGGTTTTGTGCTTTTCCCAGTAGAAAAATAATGTTAGTATTTTCAACCTGAATGACAACCTAATAGCAAGAGTGACTCCACGATGTAAACGATCCCATGCCTGAAAGTGCAGAGCGGCCTATTCCTGATCCTTTTAACCATCAGCGCACTGCTCACTAGGCTTTGGCACAAAATAATGGAAGCATCATTTGCGGAAAATTAGACTCGGGGAGCTTCCATTAATTAAAAGTAGAAACCAATTTGTTACTTATACTTTGAAAATTGTATTAAAAAAAAACAAAAACGAAAGGCACCCGAGTTTGTTTTACAAATCGTCTCATTGTTTAGGATATTGAATTTTAAGGTTAAGATTATGCAGATGTTACAAAATTTTGTGTTTAAATCTATTATTTTTTCTGAGATATAACAACATCTTTGATTACAAGTTTCCGTACGTTTGTGAAAGTTTCGAATTTAAATAAGAATATACGGTCATTTTAAAATTAATTAATAATACAGAAGGTTGAATAGATTATATCAAAACGATTTTGGAGACTCATCACGTCGTTACAGTTATTATTGCCACCCTGTTCAACCCCGGCAACCACACATATTAACAACAGCCCTGCAGTATAATTTCCGTTGGAAAAGGTTCCATCATAAGACTGTTATGTGTGCTTTCCACAATATATCTAGTGTACGAGGACAATGGTTTCATAGTAACCATTTCAACAGTCTGATCGTACAGAAATCCACAAACGTTGCATCCGGCGACTTGACTGGTATGTCTTCATATGGAATAGCATGAATAGTTATTTCATTCTTCAACTGCTTTAGGTATGTGACGGTTGAACGGGAGGTATGGCGGGAGGCCTTACCTAGATGAACTCATACACACTCTGTTGGCCTCGTTTCCATACCGAGATCCTTCTCTATTACGGTGCATATTATTGCTTTTGCTACTTACTTTTATATTTGTGGATTCTCATATGTTACAAGCAGCCACATTCTGCTTTCAACGGTTGCGGTACGACTTTTTTTGTAGGTCTCTTTATGGATGTTCCCTGGTGCTTGAACTTGGTCCGTATTCCAAATACCATTAAGATCAGAGATATCTCCTTCTTGGAAATGCTAAATCTCAGAAGTGAACACATCTTTATGATCTGAGTGTATGAATAATATGCATTGGAAAAAGCTCTTACATATTAGAATCTTGGCCAAAATGTTTGCATATTTTGTAACAAATAAGATCATTATAATTAATATGAAAAGCCCTGTCAAACTGAAAAATGCATGTTATATTAAACATCTACATAATTTGGGTAATGAGACGGGTTCTATAAAGATCATGAACGATTTATTAGAACATCAAACAATTATATTAGACATTTGTAGAAAGACGTGTAATTCAGCATTTTAACTATCATAACACAACCTTACCAAAACATATATAATGACAAAATATAACGTGAAATTATTATAAATAGCGAATGTAACCTTATATTAGTTCATATTAAGCATTCAATATTTGGTTGGTCTTTCTCATAATCTAATAACCTCCGCAAGGCAACGTGGCATACTGCGAATGTATTTATTCATGTACTTTACTATGATTTCATCCCAACTTGCCACTAGAGGGCGCTGAAACTTTTGGGTTGTGGTTAGCAATTTTCCGGCTCAGTTCTGTCCACAGTTCTCAATGGGATTACAATCTGGAGACTTTTCTGGCCATGGCAATCTTGAAATAATCCTGTACAATACCTCCACAGAGGCATTGTCAACCTGGAAAACAAAGCTATTGCTAAACCTTGCCCTGGCATATTGTTGGCAGAAATATAGTCTTCATGTAATGTTTGCAGGAGATGCCATTGACGTTTCCCTAGAGGATATGAAGAGCAGTTTTTCCATCATGATGAATAGCTGCCCAAACATGAACTGCACCACCTGCTGTGTGTTCTCTGTGGGAAAGATAGTCTTATCTCAGCTGTTTTCCAGGCAAACGATAAATACGAATCATAACATCAGCTTTATCAACCGGAAACAGGACTCATCTGAAAAGATGACAAGTCGCCAATGTCTTAACTGTAAGCTGGCATGCTGTCTTTCCCAAGTAACACGGTGACGGCAGCTAATTGTGGTTAATATTAGTTTGCTGGTAGCCTTCTTGCAAAGTAACCTTATTTGATTAGTCTCCTACTCACTGTTCTTCTGGATACCCTGGAATGAATGTGTTAATGTCATTCCTCTCGTAAGGTGTTGTAAGACTTCTTTCGATTTTGACCTGTTAGTTAACCTGATCAAATCACGATAATCTCGGACAGTAGTTTTTGCTGTCTACCAGTAGACCTTCCTGGAACAAAGTTTTCTGTAGTCCGGTGACGTTTCAGGATTCTGGATACAGTACAGTGGAGGTACCCTACTGTTCTGGTAATGGTCGTTTGCTTCATGCCGTTTCTGAACAGTCGAACAATTTGACACCTTATAACTTCTAGAACGTGACGAGGCATGACTATACACCAAGTACAGAGAAATTGTCTGAACAAAGGTTGATCTCTTTGGAAAAAATTTATACCAAAATCACACCATTTTATACAAAACAAGTGTGTATGTGTGTTTTGATGAACAAATGTTCAAAACAACATATATGGACCAGAATAACAATTCATACATGTTTGATCGATCATACGCTACCTTCTCTGTTACTACTCGGGCATTTTATAAATAATACTCTATGCACGTAAACATTAACATCAATATAGAACAATATGCAAAATTTTTGCCAAGACTGTATTTCCAAAAGCGACTAATTTTCAGTGGCATCACAAACGACACGCAGACAATATTAAGATATAGTTGTGATACATGCCGTTCCAACGCGACTTTATATTGGTTATGGTTATCACATTACTTACTGATTTACATATTCGAAGTTCTTTTGATAGAATGCACTAAATTGTATAGAATGTCACTAAAACTGTTCATTAATATGTTAGTTTCACTTTTTACTTTCTATTTATCACATTTTTATTATTTTAAAAAGTATTTATTAACATTCTAATTGGTTTTATTATGCATGCCTGAATATGCGCTTTAGTTTTGTGTATGACAATGTATTAGTTAATTCGTCAATCTATTAGAAATGGAATACATTAAAACTTGAAAATAAGAAGTTATTTAGTATTTTTACCTAAAATTCAAAACTTAGACATATAATGGAATAATAATTTCACAAAATCATTGAAACCTATTCATTCAAATTGCCTTTACTAAGGATACTTGGTTAAAAAGTCGGTTTATAAAATGATTAGAAATTAGGTTCACCCACATTATTATACACATATAACAAATGTATGAAGTTTTGGACAAACTGTATTAGATTCATATAATTTACTTTCTAGAAATGGTTACAACATGCTGAAAGCTTCATCATAGTTATTATTATTAGGAATTACATTCCAACTCTTAATGATTTGTATTGTCGAAATATTTTCTAAACTTCTCCCTACGTTCGCAACTATTGAGGAGTCATATCAAGTTTTTCCCAATGTTTAAATTTTATCTTACTTGTTCGAAAACTTAGGTCTATCACATTGTAAAATAAGCAGTATTTATGTGATTTTATTAGATATATTTTTCTCAACTTTCTGTTTAATTAACCAATCCGTCCTATTTAACTACGTGAGAATTCAAGTACTATTATAAGGGGAAGGTAATTCAAGTACAACGTTAAAACAAACAAACGATGTGACTGTTTTTACTGCAATCTAAAGAAAATTTTTAATGAAATTAAAATTTTTCAACATCATCAAAATATTTTTTTTCCAGAAGGAGCAAGATACAAACAATATAAACGATATTGTATGTAGTTATTTAATACTTTATAGTATTAATGTTTTTTTAATTTAAAACACATATTTGTCGATGCTTTATTTGAGGTTAAGATGCGAATTAAAGTTAGTTTATACATCTCCTAAAATTTTCTATTACCTTTACTCCAGACAATGATTTTTTCCACATTTTGTTCGTTGGAGGGACATGTAAGCACAGCGGTTTGACCACTGAGAACAGTTTTCGTTTCTTCCTGAACTTCACGCCGAAACCTAGGTAAAGACTGGGTAACTGGATAGGAAAGTCTGATGTTTTTCTTCAGGTGAAGTGTGCAAAGAAGACTTATTAGTTTTGATCCTTCAGATGTTTTCCAGATAAATGATAGCGATGCATACTTTTTATTACTTAAAAAGTATCTAAGTCGATCTACTGCATCAGATAAAAATGGGTGCTGCTCTCCAGTATTACGTCCACAAATATTTAGAAATTCTTTGTTGGTTCTCAAACCACCAGCGGTGTTCCATGGAAGACTTCCACATTCTGGTAAAATCAAAGATGAAGGAAATAAACTGTTATTCAGCAACCAAATAACGTAATTCGCAGTCATATAAATATATATTTTATTAAACGTTGCTTTGATAATCATCCACAAAGATGTCTTATAAAAGATTTATAATTTAGGGGTTATCCATTTTTTTTTCTATGTAAAACTTTTTATGTGTAAAATTGAAATCCATAAATATTATGATTTATCAGTACCGTTGGCTTATACGCTGTAGATAATACAACAAAATTATTCTTACAGAAAATAATTCACTAGACGCTCAGTTTTATACTCTAGCAAGATCAAAATTTGGGTTGAATGTAGAACACGTGAAAAAATAACAAGAACACATAACACGATACACAGCTAATATGTGGATAGAAAATGAAGTTTTCTGTTCATAGTATGAAACAAAATGGTGGCCATAAAAATCGACCGTTTAAAACCACCTTTAAAAATGTCTGAATGTTAACAATGATTATTAAACAGTATTGGCCGAGGAAAACTAAATCTTATTGAACTTGTAGTGAATCAAAGTTTCACTATTTCAACGAATTTTCATCTTAGTAAGTAAGTAAGTAAGTTACTTTTCCAGACAAGCGTACAGAAAAATGACGAACCTTATCGCTCTAATTATTTCATAGAACCCTTCCATTTGGGTTCCCAATGATTCCTTTCTTGTTCCGAAAAGGATACTGGTATAGATACACACACACACACACACACACACATACACACACATATATATATATATAACGAATGATGATCTACTTTGGATATATAATTCGATTTGTGAATAAGTTGCTAGAGAACGTGATGAGTAATGAAATCGAATCGGGTATACGCGCGCCCCACGCTTGGTATTGCTGGCGCACAAAAATATAGCTAATGAAAAGAAACAACCAAGTATAATAATAATAAAAAAAATTAAAACAAGTATGTATCGATATATACGTAACCTAAATAGCTAAATAAGAAAGTCAAAATTATAAAGACTAGGTCAATAAAATAAAACAAAATATCCCTATTTTGGCCTAGACTAACATAATTATTGGAATTATGTTAGTCTGGGCCAAAATAGGGATAATTTTTTGAAATTTAAAGTAAGTTAGTTTTTGTAGTTTTGACTTTCTTGTTTCAATACTTTTTGTAGCATTAAAACTTTCTATATTATAATAGCTAGCTAGGTTACGTATATATCGATCCCTACTTGTCTTTATACAATTTAACAATTTTTTTTCATCATATTTGGTTGTTTCCAATATAAAACGTGGGGCGCGCGTATACCCGATCTATCCTCAAATCTAATTATGTGCCCAAAGTACCGCATCGTCCGTTTTATACATATATAGGTTCTAGTACCCATTTCAGTACAAGAAAGGAATAATTGGGAACCCAAACGGAAGAGTTCTATTAAAGAATTAGAACGATAAGTTTCGTCATTTTTTTCTGTACGCTTGTCTGGAAAAGATACTTACTCCATAAACACACACGTATATAGTGATTTAGGCAGCTTTATAAGCATAATAAGCTTTAGTTTTACTTAGTCAATACTGTGAAATAGTGATTGTTAATATTCAGACATTTTAAAAGTTGTTTTAAACGGGCGAATTTTATGGCTGCCATTTTGTTTCATGACGATCCATATTATTAAGCACTGCCGTACTTAATGATTATGTAAAATCATACAGAATTTTTTTTAAAAAGGAACATTTCCCAGTAATTTTTGTGGCTAGGTATAGGAATGTTATTATGCAAATTTTTACAGTTAGTAAGGAATATACTGTTAGAATTTAAAGACTCTTATAGGCTGCTTAGATTATAGCTTTTGGTTTTACTTTAAGGTTGCTTCTGTCCATAAAATGCATGAATCTAATATAAAAACGTCACCGTTTATTGCTTTCTGTATTTATCAGACTTTTCATAGAGTGAATAATAGCCAGCAATATTTCACTTGAAGAAATATTCTAATACTTTCAACTATATTAATAAAAGTTATAAAGCAGTGAATATCTGTTCATATAAATCACGAGCAAAAGATAGGCTAGAGAGATTTTATTGATGTTGACGTAATAAATTCTACTATTGTAAGAAAAACCAAACTTATATACTATAGTAGGTTTTTAGCTTTACTTTATTATCCTTCAAACTGGATAATAGTACATTTGCGAATCGATATTACATCAGGTCTTGGAAAATTAGATTCACTTAATTTCGTTAGGAACTATCGTACTCATGATTTTATAGGCTTAGTTTTTTTACGTAGATTATAATTGTTTCTGCGATGTTGTGTTTTTATACAAATTTTCACTACTGCCTTTGCCTGTTTGCTACTATATGGGCGATATATATATATCTCAATGGCCATTTTTTCTCCAAAGCTGATAGTGGGGTTTTAATACGGCTTAGTAGACAAGCTCAATTCCCAGAGCTCTTCCTCGTTCAGCTGAAGAAATCTCCTAACTATTGAATTTAAAATATATACCAACGTTTGTCAAAGTAACAGAAAGAATAGTGATTATTAGAAATACTTTTTTTGTGTTTTCCTCTATTATTTTAAAAGAACGAGATTTTTCAATAAAGATCACAGTTAACGGTTTGTAATTGAGTGACAATGACATTCAAATTCAGCAAACATTTGTTTAAAGATAATTGATTTCTGTCTGTGTACTTTTCTATCTGATTATTTATCAGAGTGGCAACATGCAAATACACAAGAACTGTTTCTTTTAAAGACAGAATGCAATTAAAATATGACAAGTAACTTTAAAGAAAACAGCCGAACTGTACGAATGATGTTAGAAATCTTAAAACGTTTTATTAAGATGTAATCGCATCTTATGTTTTAGGTTCCGTGCTGATCTTTGCCTTTCTTCTCCCATCATCAGTCGTGCTCAGTTTGGTGGCCATAACTCTGTGCTATTGTAACAAGCTACTGCAAAGAACTACGAGGTTAACCTCACAAAACACGTTTTGATACTTTATTTCAGTTTCTCCATTGAATGTGAGTGCCAGCTTATGAAACCATGCTTAAGCACACATCAAACACACAGAAGTCCATTAGGGTTATATTAGACACTTCATAGGAATTTGGTCGAATCGGTTTGTATAATTCCAATTTCTTGGCCCATTTTCTTCAAGAAAACAGTCGTTTATTTCATTGCACGGCTCTGTTCAAAGCTTCAGAACTTTCAGCTATGGGCATTCGTTACTTACAAATCTTCTTTTAATATATTGTTAAGAATACCATGATATGCCAGCTTTATTGCAACGTTTTTTGGATATGAAGTTTCTGGACTGGCATGGGGTGATACTTCGTACATGGTTAGAATCCTACAGAAAATAGTGGTTGGACTGTACAAGGCTACTCAACACAAAAATAAAAAATTAAATTTGCTAACAGATGTTTCCGCATATAAAAGCTATCCATAAAAATAAAACAGCACTCAAAACAAGCAATAGTACACATAGGTGTTTGAAAAAAAATGGCGTTTTTCCAAAAATAGTGAGTGGACGGCGTCTTCATTTTCAAAAAAGTGGATGGACTGTGTCTACCCGCGTCCATCCTCGAGTCAAACATTGGTTTTGTAAACCTTGCTATCCTAAATGTTCTGCTTACGAGCTATTCCTCTTCCATGGTGAGCATCGAAGGCTCTCTTCTTCGAAATGTGTTGATTGTATCAAATCTCAAGTTATAAGTGTACTTTTAGTGGCGTTGCGCTATCTTGGAGTAGAATTCGTCTTTAACCAAATATACAGATGTTTAAGATACGACGGCGTTAGCGCAAACAAATCGTTTTTATAATGATCAGTTCTATGTAAGAGTTGAACACAATTAATTCCTAGTAGGAAAGAAAAAATAAAACATATTATTTATAAAAATGGAAAATAATATAATTTCTTAAAACTATATAGCTCTAAAAGATGAACTTTTAAACGACTCTTGTCAATACAAGCAAATTGGAATTACCTTAAGCCTCATAGATTTTTTTAAGCTGCTTGTTTTCTCAGCTTTGGTCTTTCATAGTTGGCTCTTTCTTCAAATAAGAGTATCATTATTTAGAGATATTTAGAAATAAGAAAGTGATATGTACAAAAGAAGTCTGCTGCTTTGTTGCTTTGTAAATTTACGATTAGCAAAAGATTAGATAAGATATTACTTTTAAACTATGCTTGAAATTTGATGTTTTAAGACAAATTCTGGATCACATTTCTAAGTGTTATTGTCCAATTTGGCTACACTTACATTATCCTATGATCAAACAATAAATACTCAATAACGGACACTCAAAATTGTATTACCTCTTTATTTTGAGTTAGTAAGGTGTTTGGTCTATCAATTTGTCTCTCTGTCAAAAAGTGTTTGAGACAGTTGAGATTGGAAGCTACTTTATGTTTCAGATTCCAATTTCTAGTTTATAATGTAAAACATAAGCCATTGAAAAATGATTTCAAGAGTACTTTTTTCATAATTGAAGTCAGATGACATTAGTTATAAAATAATAGTATTTCCATATAATATAAAATAAAATAATAATGTTTCCTTATAAGCTATAGCATTGTATTTTGAGATATTTCTATTTCTGTTTTCTTTGCAGATCCTATTACCAACAACAATAGATATTTGTTGTAATATATTCTCCGGCACAATAAACATGCTCACCCTTTCAGCCGTGGGGGCGTTATAATGTGACGGTCAATCCCACTATTCGTTGGTAGCCAAAGAGTTGGCGGTGAATGGTGATGACTAACTGCCTTCCGTCTACTCTTACACTGCTAAATTAGGGACGGCTAGCGCAGATAGCCCTTGTGTAGCTTTGAGCGAAAATAATAAAAAATAAACAAACAAACAAACTGTAATATATATTTCTTACTGAATATTTAATATCTGAATGAATTAATACACCTAACATCATGTTAAGGAGTACGATTGTTTTTACCATCCTTGCTTCAGTTAGAACAACTGAACACGAACAGAATAATTCTGTTTATTGGG